CCATAAATTTGTACTATATCAAATTAAGGCTAATAAAAACCAACTGGCATTGTCACCAAAGTTCAAAAAAAAAAAAATAATGATAACTTTTAGTTCCTTTTCTAAGTTCTGTAATTAAATAATTGTTTGGTTACTTGTTTACAAGAATAAGATATGATGTATTTGTTACATTTTCAAGAATACTAATATTTAAACTTTTAGAATACTTTTGATAAAAATAATTGAGATCAATAATTTCAAGTACAGTTGTTGTCAAAGTTAATGTTTGATTCTAAAAATAGATTCTTAAGTATATTTTATAAAAAAATTTGGTTAATTTAGAAGTTTTTAAACTAATTAGGAAAGTTTAGAAAAATATATAAACTTTAGATAAGCTTATTGGATGTTTAGAAAATTCTAATAAGTATTAGAAAAGTGAAATTTTTAGGATAATTCTACAAGTTTTTCTAAATGCCAATGAAAAAATCTATAAAAAACAAGTTTTTATTTTTATTTTTTTGTTTATATATTTATAAGTTTTGATCTGTTTTAAATAAATTATATATTAAAATATTTATCTCAATGAGTTAAATAACTTTTGAATAGATAAAAAGATATGTTTAATTAATAAAATTTTGTACAAATGAACAAAAACTAAAATATTAGTTTTTTAAAGTTTTCTTAGCAGTCAAATGTTTTTGAAACTTAAAACATAATGGCTTAGGAGAAAAAAAGTATGCTAAATAACTTTATTTAAAGAGTCAAGTAAGATTTACTTAGTAGAAAGTTGAGAAATAATTAAATGTTTTTTTGTAGTTTTAGTATAAGTGATCTATGAAAAAAGTTGCTTTTAATATATTTTGTAATTAATTAATATTATTATATTTTAAGAAATGAATAAATTTTAATATATGAAACAAGTTTTATTTTTAACATGAATGTATAACCTTGAATTTAATCAATACATTCTACCTTTGTTATAACTGACTGTTAAACATATTTCTACTATAATGAAATAAGTATTTAAATATTTTAAATTCTTATTATGCTATCGTGAAAATTTATTATAATGGATGGGATTATTCAGCTCAATTACTTTATTTTAACAAAAATAAATTGCAATTTAGACCCTTATTTGAAGGACTGTGAGGCATCATAATTAATAACTAGCAATATCATTACCCATGTTTATAACAAAGTTAAATTGATCTCACAGGTCATTCAAATTAAAAGAATTTACAATAATTGAAGTATGTGGGTATTTGGTTCAAACTTTTTATAGATTTTATTTTGCGAACCATATAAATGCCTTTCTAAATAAATACAATAAATTTGAACTATGGTGTTAAACCATCCGTCAATTCTAGGTCGTAGTATCATTTAACATGCATAAAAAAATTTTATTTCTTAAATAAAAAATATATAACCAGTATTAAGTTCCAAGTTCCAGTTTACGGTATAATAAAAAAAAACTTGATTTTTAAAATTAAAGTATATAACCAATATTAACAATAAAATTAAAATAAAAAAATTTCTGCTTCTATTTTTAGACCAGTTCGGACCGGTCTCAAGACCGTGGACCGAATAACCATAGGACCGGCTAAAAAGACCGGTCCTTATTCGGTCTTTCTAGGACTGATCCGAGATTTTTACCTGTTACTAGGGATGTTAATCAGTCCCGCAGTATTTATCAGCTGACTTTGTAAAAAATTTGATTTTTTAATTAGTATACGTACGTATATCGATATTTGTTCGATCAGTAATAGAAAATTTATTTCTCTATAAGTCTCAAATAAAATTTTATGCATTAGCTTCTGAGTAATGAGAAACTTTGTTGATCGGTCCTATCTAAATTACTCAGAAACTAATGCAAAAACTGATAAACTTCTAATAGAGAAATAACTTTTCTATAATATTATTTATTGAATGAATACCCGACTAAAAGCAACCCATCAGATTTTTGGAGCCAAAAATTTGACTACGGTTATGTTCTACTAATAAAATTGTACTCAAATAATTAGAGGTTAGGGTGAAATCCTAGCTTTCTATGTTTTTTATTATACAAAAGCGGATTTCTAAGCGAATTTTTACTAGCTGGTGACTCAGGTTTCACTCTGTCGTATTATTTCTTTAAAGATAAGATGAGTTTTTAAAAAAATAATAGTGTAAATTTGATACATGTATTGTCTTTTGCTTCATTCAAGTTGGAAATTTTTTTTTAGACAAGTCGAATCACTACATCGATAGTTAAATTCTGCATCAAATACTGATGTTTATAATGATAAACTACATCATGTTACAAATTAAAATTTAAATCTAATACGTATTTTTAATTATTAGGGCTTCAATAAAACAGGCGTGACAAAAAATATTAATTTTATGAGAATTAAGTGTTTACTATTAAAAAATATTAGTTACATTACCGATCACCAATTAATTTAAAATCGATCCCCTTTAAACAATAAAAAATAAAATAAATAAAAAAAAAAACAAAAATAAAACTTTAAATAGATACGTTTGCGTAGAAGACCAATGGTAAAGAAAAAACTATTATAGAATGTATAATTATATATCAATAACATACAAACGACTTTAGCGGTGAAATTAATAACGATCTATAATATGTAAGGGTAATAAATAGAAATTGATTGTTCTTTGTGCAAAAAGAGTAAATCCAAAATTGTCAATCCAAAATTATAATAGGAAAAATAAGAGAATCATGAAATATCATGACCAAATTGTTGCATGCGAGCCTTTTAATCCAAGTTGTAATGGACCACCACCTGTAAACAGCATTGTACCTGATTCATCATATGAAAGTGTATAAATAGCATTCTATAGTACAAATTTCATATGATACAACATTAATGAATGGTTATAGTAGAAATAATAAGTTACTTCAATATTGAGAGGAGTCATATCAATACGTACCAACCAACCAGAACCTGTTTCTTTATAGTTACATGTTACCGAAGATTCATCATTGGATGTATTAAATAAAAGATAGTTTTGAGCACGCATATCATAAAATGAAAGCCTTCCATAACCACCTCCAGTTGTAATTATATGATCATTAAAGTTTAAGGATCGAACACCTAAAAATTAATGTTTTGCTACTAAGGAACCATGAACAACAATAAATAATAATGATAACAGATAACAAAATATAATTACCCCAACCCTCATCTACAGAATCGATCTCATGAACTATAGAAGATGTCCGTGGATCTATAACTGATATATGCGCCTGAGATCCAACAGCAAACAAATTAACTTTAGAATTCATTGATAAACATACATTTTCATTTGTATGTATTAATGGGATTTTTGTTATTGAGTTAAGATATGATGCGTCCCATAGTTTAACATAACCAGCAGTTGAAAGGGTCATGATTTGCTAAAATTATTATCAATAAATTAGGATCAAGAATCAATAATATACCTAAGCAAATATTTTATTAAGAACATTATTCATACATTTGTCTTTGAGTTGAATTGTAAATCTCGAACTTTGCCACCACACTCTGATCTAGTGAGCAACGGTTGGTGGACATTGATAAATTTGTTTGGTAGTAAAGGCATCTCGGAGATTATTTTTGATTCGATAGACCAGAGACGAACTGTACCATCCCGTGAACCTAGAATAAATCAAATAAATTGGAAAATTTAAGCCATTGGTGAGTTTGTCATCAAAAAAAACATAAAGAAATACCTGATACAACGTGACTATCATCCAGCCAAGCGACGGAAAATACCAAATCATTATGACCCTAAAATAAAATTCAAAACTAAAAATAAGAAGCCTTCGATGCTAATGAACAAATACGTATAAAATATTTATGAACAAATTGTTTTTTTTACCGAGAATACAATAACGGGTTCAAATGAAGGTAACTCATATATCATAACTTGAGTTGGGTTTCCAGCGCCTATAGCCAGTAAAGTTCTTGAAGGATTCACGGCGATGCTTCGAATTCCAGAACAGTTACTATTATTATTATCCGGAGGTTGATTATTTGTACTTCCGGTGACCAATGGAATTTCGAACCTTTTATTGGTTTCGACATTGAGGATTAAAAGCTTGTGAAATATTATACAATTATGCAATTAGTGTTAACAAATTAAAAATTAATAAAGAAGCATATTTTGCGTCATGCACGACATACCTTATTGCATTTTGTTCCTACAACAATTTCATTATGCGATATCCAGTGAGAACAGAAAATCTTGTCATGATTTCCCAAATCAATCTGAGTTTCTTGAAACAAATGTGGCATTCGATGGGACACAATGCTAAACCAATTTGGAGGTAACCTATATGAAATCATAAAACAATCATTTTTAAGTTTATCAATTGATTTACACATATAAATTTGATAACAGATAGGTTTTTAAGAATAGATCAACCTTGCCGTATTTAATCCTAATTCCCTATTGTACAAATATTTATGTATCTCGTCGTGCGATTCATCAGGAAAACTACAACCGAAAGAGAACTAATACATTCATATCTATCATATATATATAAATGCAATGTAATCGTAATATATAATGCAATTATTACCTCCATGGTTTTGCATCTTGTTGTTTAGAAAAGAATGAAAACTTAAGAATGGCCATTTTACTGTTTCGAACGTTTCTCAATAAAGCACCTATGGAGACCTCCACAGTTGAATAATTTTATTTGATAAATGTTGGAGAAATTTTGGATAGATCTAATGCTAAACTTTCTATATGTTATTAATATATACTGAATCTAAATATCTTAATTGAGTTGATGTTTTTGTTTCCTAGAAAGCAAATGTTATACAAAGCACATCGGCGTTTCAAGGATCACGATCGGTTATGAAATTAATAAAAGAAGTTGAAGTGTCGGATGATAATGATTGAGTAACTCAGGATGGAGATGATAAATTGATCCAAAGAAAAAAAAAAAAAGAATGTGATTATTAAATAGACGAGTTAAAAATAACCCTTACATGTAGCCGTACAACGGATATTAATAAGGGAAAATAAAAGAAAAAAGAATGAAAGAGAAATTAAATAATAGGTTACTACCATAAAATGCAAACAAATTAAAAAAAAGCTGCAGGACACATAATAGTGGTAACACAATTTATTGCAATTTACTTGTCGAATCAATGAATCGAACAAAGTCGATAACCAATAAACAACACATCCCATGTATTTTACCACGATGACGACATTTCCATTTAAATAACTTGCTTATCATGCATTCGAACAACCAGACTAAAGAATAAATGGGTCGTAACTTGATGCATTTGTGTTGTACGTAATGGTAACACTTTTGATAAAATTATTAAAAATTGCTCTTACCCAATTTATGTCATTTTTGTAAGATAAGCATTATACTATGCACATGATATGCATATATTAGCATGTATAATGCATATGTTATGCATATATTAGCATATATGATACATATGTTATGCATATGTTATGCATATTATGCATGATATAAGTCTAATATCGATGTGCATAGAACGTTTCGTATTTATCATGTGAAAACCCAAATGTGGGTGAAAATTTTTCGTCGTAAGAAGTACAATGTACTTTATTAGTAATTAATGTCGTTAAATCTATGAAGTTGCAATGTGCATGTTAATGTCGCTTGCGAAATTATTTTTCAAATTTCACCAAGAGTGAAACATTTCAAAATCCAAAATATTTCGCTGAAATTAAATAGTTTCACCAAGGAAAAATTTTTCGGTTTAGCCCGCAACGCTAATGCAAACACAAGATTGTTAACGTCAAAATACTTTTTAATATATATGTCCTTTTGTAATTTTACATATTATTAATGGCTTTATAGAGATTATTGCTTATGCAGAATATTCAAGTCACTGTTTTTCTTAGAGCTGTTGTTCTCGATAATAAATTAAACAGCATGTATACGTACTCCTGCTTGGGCTGGATATATTCTTGCTAAAGTTAAGGTTAGGTTTGTATTGGTTACATACTGCTGACCACTGCATACAGTGTCCAAGCTCTTATTCAAGAACTCCATTTTAAAATTGAATAGTACAGTGTACCATTTACGGTACCGACTACCATCTATGAATCCAGAGATTTCAGTGGTTCACTAGTAAAGGAGAGTACTTTTGTTAGAACACAAAATACGACCCCATAGGCAAATTTCGAGTAACAAACATTTTCTTGAAAAAGGTATTAAACAATTTATATGTTCGACCAGTTCCGCGTTTGTGTAATTTTACATTTAACAAACACAAACTCAAATCTCAAAACCATTCTTGATAGATCGTTTGTACCATTCCTGATATGGTTGAAAAAAAACGATCCACCGTTGTTGGGGAACGTTTAAAGCCTATTTAATTCTCCTGTCCGTTTTTTGTAATCTGATTGGTCAATTTCCAGCACCGTGATCGGGATTATCCGTTGATTTTTTTACTTCATTTTTGATGATTCATGAATGTTAGAACATGCCTTGATACTAGTTTTCATTTTGGGGTTAAAATTAAGGCAGGTATTACAGAGAAGCAAAATTGCCTTTTCGACATTTTTACTAGATTGTTTTTTTGTTAACCTAATTTATATTGGCTAATTTTTAAGATTGTGTAATTTGGTAGGGTCGAATCAAAAATTACGCACAAATTATTTGTATCTTAATACAGTATTATATTTATTCTATTTTTTTAGTATATATATAGGGTTGTTAATGGATTAAATTAGATGAAGCAGGCCTTACTCCAACTCAACCCTAAATCAACTCCGGGTTATAAGAATAATTTGTTTCAGACCACTTAGTGTTGTTAGTCGAAATTATTTAGACATTTAGGTATTTAAACAAATTGAATTTATACAATTTTGACTTTGTCATTTTTTAAAAAATCGCTATTAAAAATAAGTAAAAATTTAAACATTTAAACATTTAGACAAATTTTGACATTGGCAAAACAATTTTGACAAACAACATTAAGACCGCTCTATCTGGAGCAATCTGGGTTTTGCTTCAAATTACTTCATATTGATACAAGTATAACAGGTTTTAGATTTGATTGGCTAATAGACTTATACTAAAATGAATCAAAAGTAAAATATTTTACAAAATACTACAGGATTAATCAAATAAAGATATATTTATTTAAAATTTAATAATTATAATAATTTATTATTTATTATTTTTTTAAACTTAGCAAATAGAATTTAGGGCACAGGGGCATGCCTCAAGTCCAAAGGGCATGCCCTTGTCATGTGATGTTTAAAATTATTTTAATTGGCTAATAAGTTCAGGTAAACTAGAACCGTAGATACTAAATCAACATGTAAGATTTTTAAGAAGTTGTGAACTATGAGTTAATCACATGATTTTAAAAGGGCATGCTCATAAGCATAAGAGGCATGCCTTAGCTCAGGGGCATGTTAAATTTTTTTCTCATGTTCTAAACCCTATTAGCAGAACTTGATAATGATCTTTATTTACTTTTTTCAGTAATTTCATTTAGTATTACAAATTTATTACATTAAATTTATAATTTTATATACAGTTTGACTTTACTTAACTGTTTCTAACAGTAATTATATATGTTCTGTTGTATGTTATAATTAAAACCAACACTTGTAGTCAAGTTATTCTCTTTGAGTAATATTTTATTTAACTGATTTTGTTAGTAAAAAGGTTTAGACCTATCTGTATTATATATAAAAATATAGTTAATACAATTATAATTTAACAAAATTAACTAACATATCATTTTATCAAACTAGTAGCAAGGCTTAATAACAAAAAAAAAATAGAAAAAGCAACTTGATTAAGATTAAAACATGTATAGTTATTTATAAAAGTAGTTAAACTATATTAAATATAAATATAAAAAACTTAAAATAGTATACAATTAATAGTAATTTAAGCTTAAAAATAATACAAAAAAAAACAAAAGTAAGGTTAAGTTTTAGTTTTAAAAATATTGAATTTTATTTTAATAGCAAAAGTATAAAAACTACAAATATATTATAGTATAAACAATTTAATTATATTAAATAACTAAACTATTATTAAAATTTATATTAATTTTTATATAATTTTTTTTTACTTTTGCTAAGGTCATTGTTATCAGTAGCTACTGTCTTTATTGTGTTTTTAATTATAGTTATATAACTTATACAAGGTAAGTATACAACTAGTTATATATATAACTTTTAGTTATCTATTAAGTAGTCTATTTGCAGGTTTTACATTAGCTGTCATATCTGTAATCTACTAGAAGATTATCTAATTAAACATTTTGATCTCTATATTATGTCTAACAAATAGTATACAAGTTTTTATACATTTAAATATTATCTAATCTAACATTTAATCTTTTTTCTTATATATCTATCAAGCTATTAAATATTTTAAAATATGTTACCTAATTGTAAAACTTGTAAGTAATTTCTCTATTAATTAGATTAATTATTTTTCTATAAGACATTAACAGAATTTGCTCTTGCAGAGTTTATTCAGATTCTAGTATTAACTTTATAGTATATTCTTAGCACTTATAATATATTTTTGCTTTATTATTAAGTTTTCAATTCAAATAACCTAATAGAACTATAATCTGTCTCAGATATATTAAGTCTAATCTAATATTTTTTTTCTCTAATTTAAAATTTTTAGTAACCTAGTTAATAGTACCTCTTATCCAAAATTCTTGCTTATCTAATTTTTTTACATTGGTATCTGTTTTTTAGATCTAATTTTTACAGTAGTACTATTAAAAATTTATATTACTTCTTTATTTGAATTTTTCTAAATAGACTTTAGTTTTCTTAGTTCTATAGATTTATACTATTATAAGAACTTATCTTAAATTTGCATAGTCTGATGCATGTTTGCATTCTTTCATATAATCAAGATTATATAAATATCTCTTGACCTATTAGTTATACCAATGCAATTATAGTTACAAGTACCTTATTTTAGCTTATTAACAGAATGTCATTATTGTAATACAAATATATTTTTCTAAATTTTGTTTCTGGTAGGTTTTAAACTTATAGCTTATTAATTGAAGATTGATAACTTATTTACTTTACTAAGTTATTATACTCATTTATATAATTTTTAATTAATTAATTATTAAAAAAAATTAAAGTAATTTTAATTAAAGTTAATAACTTTAGATCAATTTTTTTTTTTTTTGGTGTTAAGGTGAGGCCTTGCTCATATCTTTATTAGTAATTTTAGTTGTACATATTAATAT